TGGTATTAAAGTCATCCGATGAATGAACACCATGTCATCGATATTTTTTCCTGAAACAATTTTGCAACTCAGAACGTGAATGTCAATTTTAATAATTTGAAGTCTGGTACCGTTGCACAATCCTCTAGCTTGATCGATGTTTCTTATTAGCATAACGGGTGCACCAACCTTGAACTTCAACGCATGAGAAGGAACTCCAGAGCATCTTATTGTGTTGAGGAATTCAGTCGAATAAATTTCTGCATTATGCTCCGTTGTTTGCTCGTCCCTACACATACTATCTGAGCTCAGGTACACCTTATCCTCTCCTGGAAGGAGAGACATTAAGTGATCGTTCACAGACTCGACGCTCGAGAATGAGCTGTTCTTCCACCGGGGAGCAATAACGATGCTAGACCACTCGATGCAACGTTGATTACAATCTCTCCCTTCGAACGAACTGCAGCCGAAAGAGTTTTCCATAGAAACGTCTTTCCCGTTCCACCATGGCCATACAGAAAGAACATTCCACCACGGTACTTGGATACAACATCCATGACTACATCATAAACCTTTCTTTGCTCATCTGTAATGGAAGCAAGACACCGTTGAAGTTTTCTACCCATTTCAAACCGGTCGGAATCCAGTTCATCTAACACCAATATGTTTACTGTGTCCTCCGCTGAGGATTCGGTTGGAACTGACATAGGTGCGTAATTTCGCAGGCTTTTACCATTGCTTTGCAATATTTTTTCTATTTTGGTGAGAGTATAGTTCTTCAAGCTTTCATCCGATATATGTAAATATTAAAAAAAAAATGGATAAATTATGTGCATATAGTTGAAATGGTACAGAGACAATATTAAAAGAATGAGTAATACTTAAAATCTAATTGAATACAGTGCCATACAAATTACTATACTGGATTTATATGCCCGGGGTATTCATCATAAAAATAAATATTTGATATTAAAAAAAAGTCATCGGAATAGTAAGATTAATGATATGCAATATCATGTGCCATTGATTTTATTTAATATTCACCCGTGCGTTGCACGTGGTATGCATCATAAAAATAAATATTTGATATTAAAAAAAGTCATCGGAATAGTAAGATTAATGATATGCAATACAAAGTAGTAGAAAAGTAAACAAATAAATAAAAAATCTATTCCGTATTGTGTAAGTAATGAATACTAATACCAATACCTTTACCAATAAAATACAAATACAAATACCAATACCAATACCAATACCAATACCAGTACCAGTACCAGTACCAGTACCAGTACCAGTACCAGTACCAGTATCAATACCAATACCAACACCAATACCAATAGCAATATCATTACCAATACCCATACCATTACCCTTACCAGAACCGTTACCATTACCATTATCATTACCATTACCATAACCATTACATTACAATTACTATGACCATTACCATTGCCATTACCATTACGATTACTATTACCATTATCATCACCAATACCAATACCATTAACATTGCCATTATCATTACCATTATCATTACCAGTACCAATACCTATAGCAATACCAATAATTACCATTACAATTACCTTTACCATTACCATTATCATTATCATTACTAATGCTAATACTAATACTAATATGATAATAATACTATTACTATTTGTAATCCTAATGTTAATCCAAACCATAATGCTATTGCTAATCATAATCCTGGCATTGACTCTAATCTTAATCCTAATACTAATTTCAATCATAGTTCTAATCCAAATTATAATCCTAATTGTAATGCTAATCTTAATCCTAATATTAATTCTAATTATAATCTTAAACCTAATAATAATATGAACCATAATTCTAATCATTATAGAAATGCAAATATACTAATGCTAACGGTAATCTTAATACGAATCCTAATGTTATAACGATAATGATAATGCAAATTTTGATTATAATTATAATTCTAATCATAATACTGATACTAATACTAATTCTAATCATAATGCTAATCCTAATACTAATATTCATACTAATATTAATCCTAATATGCTAATGTCAATGTTAATGCTAATGCTAATTTTAATCTTAATCATAATGCTAAGTAACACTAATACTAATACTAATATTCATATGCTAATGCTAATACTAATGCTAACTCTAATGCTAATGTTAATCCTAATATACAAATGCTTTTATTAATACTGTTTCTAATATTAATCCGATAATGTTAATATTAAAATACAAATGCGAATACTAATACTAATATTAATACTAATATACTATTACTAATATACTATTACTAATATACTAATACTAATACGAATATACCATACCAATATCAATATCAATACTAATACCAATACCAATGCCAATGCCAATACCAATACCAATGCCAATACCAATACCAATACCAATATCAATACAATTATCAATATACCACTATACC